TGGCTGCGTGGCCCCCCCGGGCCCCCGGACCCCCCGGCCCCTCTCACCCCAGAGCAGATCGAGGAGACCCTGCGGTATTTCGGTGAGTGCTTCATCCCATGGGGACGTGGGGCTGGCGAGGGCAGAGGGGTGCAGGCAGCAGTGCACATCGAGGTGCTGGAGCAGACCCAAAGAAGAGCAACAAAGCTGGTGAGGGGTCTGGAGCACAAGTCTTATGAGGAGAGGCTGAGGGAGCTGGGGTTATTCAGCCTGGAGAAGAGGAGGCTGAGGGGAGACCTTCTCGCTCTCTACAACTCCCTGAAAGGAGGGTGTAGAGAGGTGGGGGTCGGTCTCTTCTCTCAAGTCACAGGCGACAGGACAAGAGGAAATGGCCTCAAGTTGCGCCAGGGGAGGTTCAGGCTGGATATTAGGAAAAATTTTTTCACTGAAAGGGTTCTCAGCCATTGGAATGGGCTGCTCAGGGAGGTGGTTGAGGCACCATCCCTGGAGGTGTTCGGAAGACGGGTTGATGTGGTGCTGGGAGGTCTGGTTTAGTGATGGTGTTGCTTTTTGTTTGTTGTGTGGGTGTTTATTTTTGTCAAAATTAGGTTGATGGTTGGACAAGATGATCTTTAAGGTCCCTTCCAACCTAGAAGATTCTGTGATTCTGTGCAGGCAGAGGTGCAGGCAGCGGTGCAGGCAGAGGGGTGCAGGCAGAGGTGCAGGCAGCACTGGCAGGGCTGGCCCGGGGTGGTGAGGGCAGCGCAGGAGCTAATCACCACTAACAGGATTGACGGGCTGGATTTCCTCGCCCAGAACATCCCGGGCTAATTCTGGGAGCAGCTTCTGGATCGAGCCGGATGCTCAGAGAGAGTCACTGTCATCTCCAGGGACCCCCTGCACATCCCTGCTCCCGGGGTGGGGGGACAGTGGGGGGTGCCCCGATGGCCCCCAGTGCTGCAGCCCCACAAACATGACGGCCCAGAGGGGCCGAGGGGGGCACGGGGACATTACTGCCAGTGAAGCCCCTAGAGCTGTGGGGTGCAGACACCTGGGGGGAGACACCAGTAGCCCCCGTGGCCGGGCAGGGGTGATTGTGCAGCGAGACCCGTTCGTGGCGCGGGGTCGGGGTTCAGCGGGGGGCACAGACGGATTATCTCTGCTTTGCTTCTGCCTCTGGCCCCACGTGTGGCGGGGGCAGGATTAGAGCGAGGGGCTGGGAGATGGATGTGGGGCAGCAGGAGACAGATGGGGCTGGGGGCCCGGCCTCCAATCCCACCCCCCTGCCTGTGACAGGCTGGGGACAAACCCCCCGCTGTGCCCTGCCGTGGCTGCAGCCTTCCCCATCCATCCGCTCCCTCGCTGCAGCCCACAGTGGGGTCGGCAGCACCCCCAGGGATGGAGCCCCAGCCCCATTTGCTGTGCCGTGGGGCAGGCTGAGCAGGACCCCGGGCACCCCCATCCCCTCTCCGTGCTTGGTCCCGGCAGCCCCGTGGGTCACGTATCCCTGTGTCTCCAGTGCCGGTTCCGTGTGGGGGGATGGAGGGGGCCCACGCTGCCTCATCCCTTTCCCCAAACCTTTAAGCTGCCGTCAGAAATAGCCCCCTGTAATCTGCTTGTGCAGGGACACGGGGGACCTGCCCCGAGGAGCAAATCCCCGGGAGGGGGATTAGGAAGAAGCAGCTCCTGCCTGTCCGTGGTGAGACACAGGCTCGTGTCCTTGGGGTCCTTAGGGGGGGTGGGTGCCCAGGAGAGCTGGCTGGGTCCCCGACCTCCCCCTCTGCCACCCCCGGGAGAACCACCAGTGCCAGAAGGGACAGTCTGGGACCGAGGGTGCCTGGCTCCGGCCCCAGCTCCAGGAGGGTCCCGGTGGTTATGGCAGGACATGGTTTGGAGTCAGGATTCCAGGGGGTGGGAGTCCCGCCGGCAAATAAAGGCATCGTGTGCTGCTGAGGGGCAGCTCCTGCCCCAGCCTCGTCGATTCATCGATTAGTTTGGTTCTAACGAGGAGCAGCAACTGGGGCAGGCGATGGGGGCAGGCGATGGGGGCAGGTGGTGTGTACATTGGCAGTGCCAGCACCGTGGTGCCGTGGGGGGGGGTCCTCAGTGCAGCCCCGCTGCCCTCCCACACACGAGGCTGGTGCTACGTGCCAGCCAGCTCCTCCATAATTCAGCACCGCATGATTTATTCACCTCTCCTGCTTTGGGGCTGCGGCCGCACTGGTATGGTTGTGGGGGAGATGGGGGTGCCAGGGAGCATGGGGCAGCCTGGACAGGGCATGGGGGGGGGCAGGCTTGTGCCAGCCCACACTTAGAATAGGGGGGTGCTGAGTGGGGCAGGTTGGAGGGGCTTGGAAAAGCCCTTTCCCAGCTCACAGACCTGGCGGGTCCCAGCGCCGCACTGGGCACCCAAGGGTGCAGGATGTGCAGTGAGCTGTGCTGGTGACAAAGGGGGGACCCAGGCTTGGGGTGAAGCGTGAGGCTGGGCAGGGAAAGGGCAGGGGGCTTGAGCAAAGGTCATACTGTGGTGTGACATGATGTGACATCGCAGGGACCCCAGCCCTGCACTCAGACTGGGTTTAGGGTGAAGGACCCGAACCCCTTCTTCTTCCTCCTCCTGAGGGGCAGAAGCTGTTTGTGTGTGACTCATCTGGGGCCAGCCCTGCAAAGCTGCTCCTCAGGGACCAGTGACCCCTCAGTGTCCCCTCTCAGCAGCTGGTACCACCCATGGGGACCTGTGTGTGCCCAGACCCTCCTTGTGTCCACGGGCTGGGGGGTGAGAGGTGGGACACAGCCCAGCTGCACCCGCACCCCAGGGCTGAGCAGGACTGTCCTGATGGGTCCCCAGGGTGCCCCAAAAGGACCCTGGTTTCCTTGGGTGCCGGATGGGGACGGTGTCCATGGGGTGTCCCAAAGAGACCCTGGTCCTGGGGTGCCGGAGGGGGATGGTGTCCGTGGGGTGCCCCAAAGGGACCCTGGTCCTGGGGTGCTGGATGGGGTCGGTGTCCGTGGGGTGCCCCAAAGGGACCCTGGTCGTGGGGTACCGGAAGGGGACGGTGTCCTTGGGGTGCCCCAAAGGGACCCTGGTCGTGGGGTACCGGAAGGGGACGGTGTCCTTGGGGTGCCCCAAAGGGACCCTGGTCCTGGGGTGCCGGATGGGGCCGGTGTCCGTGGGGTGCCCCGGGGGGACGGTGCAGCCGCAGCCCGGCGATCCGCGCCGCGATGGAGCGGGGGGAGCGGGCAGCCCCGGCCCCCTCCAGCCCCC